TTTTTTTTTTTTTTTTTTTTTTTTTTTTTTTTTTTTTTTTTTATTTTATAGCTTTTTGCAGAGCCGAGTGCACGCGTGTGCGTCTATATTACATGTTTTTGTCACGTATGCGTACAAGGGGTGGAAGGAGGGTTGCTTTTGGAAATCGCTGTGTACCAGCTTTCCCTTTCTTCGGCTCCTGCTTTTATCTCTTCCTCTTTTTCTTTTTTTTTCGGTTCTTTATGTATAGCTTTATTTTTATTGCGCTTTTTTTTACGAGTCCTCGCGCGCCCGGGATTTTACCCCCTGCTCGTCCGCGACATCGCGTTGAGGTGAAAAACGTGAGAAGCTCCAACATTGCGGCGTGCGACGGAGCTTTAATTTTTTTTGTTCCCTTTTAACGCTTCTCTCCGTTTTATGATTGTTTTCGTAACAAAAATCAGCGTTTTTGTTTTGCCGGACCCTTTTCTTGTGTGCTGCAATATATATTGATGCGTCGTAAATTTTGGGCCCATTCGAATGTTATATATACCATGGGGCACGAATAGTGTTGTATAAAAAACCATTGACTTTTCCGGCAAACTTCCAAACTCACCGAAAAGCAGCTGTTGATCGGCCCATTGATCGTATAGTTCTCGCGAAACGATATATATTTTCTTTACGAGTTTATTTACTCTAGTCTGGACTAATATCGCAGTTCCTCCAATTACGAGAATCGAAATTAATTTAGTCAGAAAAAACAAAAAACAAAAATAGATTTCATCTGTCTCTGTAATTTGGAAGTGCAATTTTAGATTAATCCATACGACTCGTTGCTTTCATCAGCAGAAAAAAAAAAAAAAAAAAAACAACTAATTACTCCATCATCGCTTCTCCGAACCTGTAGAAACAAGAGCATCTTTGGTCATCTTGGCCAATTCTCCGAAAGTTTTGATGATGCAATTGACGCGCGACCAGCCGTACAGCTGGCAAAAAAGACACACGTATACACGTAACATACGTATATATATATACGCTCGCAGCGCACTGACGCAACTATTGAGAATAATGTTGTGCTCTACGCCGTGTTATAATAGCTTCTCGAATCAATTACATCATTTACTTATTAGGTTTGTAATCACAATCCAACGCGCCTCGGCTACTATATATTTATACGTGTGTACGTTCATGCGAGGCCGAATCTTATCACACTTTCTAACGCGTATTTATGTAAGGTGCTCTATCGCAAAAGCAGTTTCACAAAAAATTAACTCTCGAAGCTCCGGCACGACGAATAAGCCTGGATTAGCTAGAATCGTTTTGGGGGCGGAAAAAAAAAAATTAATTATAATTCACTCTTGTAGTCGAGTGTGTCCAAAGTGTGGGTGTTATCGCGTAGCTTTATGATAATTTTTTTTAATTTGAACTGCGTATAATGTGTACGCTAATGCCGCGTAGAACTGATTGCTATTGTTTTCGGGCAGTATCAGAGACCTGATTTTTGTAAAACAGAAAAATCCCAGGGCCAGAGATTCCCTCTATTATAGAGGCTTTCACAATATCCTCCAACATTTTTAAAACGTAGTTTTATACTATCCAACAAAAATATTGCTATAAAATTGTCAAATCGTATTTAAAAACGTATACGTCTGAAATTCTCCCTGCTTTTAGCGACTTTCGGTATCATCGCCCAGATTTTACTGTCACAATGAGCAGCGACTAGCTTCTACAATGTTTCCAGTACTTTATTGAAATCTTTTTGCCAACGATTAAAGATTATGAAAACAACGAAAATCAAAAGGAGAAAAAAAACGATCCTCAATTCATCGGTTCTCATTTACCGTCTCTGAGGTACTGGACAATACGATCCTCTTAAAATATACGTAGACGCTTCTTACAATTTATCCCATAATATATTGATTGATTATCACCCGATGAAGCCTGTTATTTCAAAAATTCAAAAGTACATGTTTGAGAAATGATGCATTCAAATATAATATCGAGATGCAGAAATAAAGAAAATAACAATTGTTTGCATGAAGTTTGATTAATAAAATAAGAGTGACAAAAACAACCTAGTATCTTCCTAATTCCAACGAATAGATACGAACAAAGTACGTGGATGGTCAAGCAAGGCGAAGGTCCCCGTCACTTTCTCCTTCCCCGTTCATGCATCTTTATCACGTCGCTCGTCGCATGCATAAACACACGCACGTGCATAACACACATACCCACACACGAGGGCGATGCGTCCGCGTATAGCGCGAGATGTAATCTTTATTCCTGCCTCCCCCACTACATGATGCTCGGCGCACCTTCCCGCGCTTGCTTTTCTTGGCTAGCCGCGGCAGGAGCCCCGACGCGTGTGTGCGTCAGAAAATGCTTGATATACGCGTATGCGCCGGAATCTCTTATGATACTCGCGTAAACGGCGACCTCGAAGCCCGGCTATATATGTATCCTTTGCGTGTACCATATACATTTGAATTACGTCTTATCCGCGGGCCTCTCGGACCTATTGTGCGGGAAGGGTAACTTTTCTGCCGAATATTAACGGTACGATTGTTTTGTGAGATGGTGTGTATTGCCTCTTTTTTATTTCTGTAATTGAATGGGCTGTACTCGTTTGTCGGTTGGAAATGAAACTGGAATAATAATATCAGCACCAACACTGATGCGCTGTTACAAAAACATTGGAATTTCTGGACATTTTTATCAACTACGTGTATGGATGTAAAGTAAAGTTACTTAAACTAGATTAAAATAAAAATAATATTACAAGTGCTTGGCTAAGTTTTTTTAATAATTTTATCAATTGTTTCGATATTTCCACGAATCAGAATATATTGAATTCATTTGTACGTTAATAATTAGATATATTAAAATTAAAATTTTTTTTTCTTTTTTTTTTCAAATTATTTAGAAACAAGCAGAACCGATTTATTGATGGTCA